CGGACCGTTTAGAGTTAATGAGTCATTACAGACACCGCTAACGGGGCTAACAGCTAACGGTTAGCCCCGCTAATCTACAATAACCATGTTATTAATTTCAGAACGTGATAGTAATGTTTGTTCAATCATTGTGTTTATAGACTTTACAAACACCAGATTAGTCTAAACGGTGATAAAGTGACGTGAAAAATGTGAGATATTCATATATATATGTAGCTAAACTCCGCTGATTTTCTACCTGGATGTATTCGTAAACAACAAGGTGATTCCCTCCGAAGGGACACTAACAACTCAAAGTACACATCAAATAAAATTTCTCCAAACACGTTTCTTGTTATTTTAGGTAGTTATTATCACGCTAATTTATGTTCAAGTGTTCATTTCCCCCGATAAGTTGGTTTTAATTCATTATTTGATTCTATAAACACAGTCTGACCATCTCGAGCTTTTATTTTGGTACTTCCGGTGACCTGCAGTGTGAATTTGCATATTAGCTAAATATTTAGTTTCACCTAGAACATTTAGATTTAACATTTAATATTTAGATTTAGATTTAATATTTAGATTTAACATTTAGATTTAGATTTAATATTTAGATTTAACATTTAGATTTAGATTTAATATTTAGATTTAACATTTAGCATTTAGGTGCCACATTTAATATTTAGATTTAACTATATAATATATATCTAAGTTAACAAATATTGCTGTAAATGTGGTAAAAGGTGACGTTAAAAAATTCACAATACTTTTTTAAACATTGTTTGAAGCTAAATGTGGCAAAATGTTGATGTTATTTTCAGCGTGAGACACTTTACAAACTGCACCCCATACTGACCCACTTCAGTGAACACATTTCAACACTTCAGACATCAATTGTTCATTTATTTGTTTTGTAACACTGACATGTTTAGTTAAATAATAACTGATAGTCTCCTAACTACCACTTAAATTTATACTCAAGATGTGTTTCAGTACATTGATAATATATTTTTAGGAAGTAGCTTTTTAATAAGTAAAGTTTGAGTGATTACAGTTTATCTTGAGGGGAAGATAAATGTCTGAACCAAATTTCAATTTCTGAAATTTCTGTCCAATAGTTGGTGAGATATTTAACCCAAAACCACCCATGTGATCCTCATGATCACCTGCTGGTGGCGCTAGAGAAAGGTCAGGGGATCACTTAAGTCATTAGGATACATCCTCTGGCAACCATGAACATCTGTACCAAACTTCAGTTGTTGAGATGTCGACCAACTGATTGTCAGACAGTGTCAGAATTATGGCTAAAATAAACTACATTTAGAAAACACGTGGGACTTCATTTTTAAAAACGTACATACAGAATATTAACGACTATCAAAGAAAACATAATCAAAAATCTTATTTGCAGCTGTCATACCGGAATAACTGCTGTTGTTGGTGCTGCCAAAGTGTCATCAATCTTTGTGTTTGTGCGATCAGGCTTTCTTTCCTCTCATCATGGGCTCCGAGGTCCCGAAGGAGAAGATGGACGCAGCTGTCGAGGATCTGAATCAGTCGCTGAAATTGCTGGAGGAGAAATTCCTGCAGAACAAACCGTTCATCATCGGCGACAAAATCTCTCTGGCTGATCTGGTGGCAATAGTTGAGATTATGCAGGTAAGACTACCACTGTTTCTACTGCTACTTCTACTGGTAAATAAATTTAAGTTTAAACTTTATACCTGATACGACAACTACTGCAGCTGGAGTTCTCCTCTGACTGTTAGAACTGATTCTGCAGCTGTGTCTGGTTGATTTCACAGGACATTGCGTTTTCTCTCGTGGAAATAAATGTGTCATTTTTCATCACTGTGTGCAAAACACCAACAAGCCTGAGAAACTGACCAGGGTGTTTTTGCTACTTAATGTAGCTTCTGTGATACAAACAGAGTAATGGAGACTCGCCTTAACAGGGCACCGCTTTTACACGTGAATTTCAGTTTATTAGTTACGAGAACTACTGCTCAGTCTCTCAATGACGTTACGATGTTGGAGTCACAACAATTAACACAAATTCAGCCTCTCCCTGTAAACAGACACCTCAAAAAGAGTCTCTCTCTCTCACACACACACACACACACACACACACACTAGGTGTGTTTCCATTACAGTTTTGCGCAAAATAAATGCGATATTTCGACAATTTTGAAGTGCAATTGTGGCTTGCAGGTGTTTCCATTGAAAGGTGTTTGACATCTAAGCCGTAATTCTCGTAAGGCTCCGTCTAGCGGGATTGCGTGAAAAAAAATGGATGTCCAGAGTCTACTCTGTAAACTTATTGGCTATGTGGTTTTGGTTGCATCTATTGCTGTTGCCGTGACCATTTTTAACAAAAGACCAAGGCAGCGGATGATAGCGACAGTTTCCTCTGTCCACACTTACCGTGTCATTTTGTTTTGATTATACGGCAGCCGGCGTAAACCGGATGGAAAAGAACCCGTCCGGTGACGTAGTGGGGTCACTTGACGTGTTAATGTACGAAAAGTGTTTCCATTACACTTCTGCGACATACAGTACAGGCCAAAAGTTTGGACACACCTTCTCATTCAATGCGTTTTCTTTATTTTCATGACTATTTACATTGTAGATTCTCACTGAAGGCATCAAAACTATGAATGAACACATGTGGAGTTATGTACTTAACAAAAAAAGGTGAAATAACTGAAAACATGTTTTATATTCTAGTTTCTTCAAAATAGCCACCCTTTGCTCTGATTACTGCTTTGCACACTCTTGGCATTCTCTCCATGAGCTTCAAGATGTAGTCACCTGAAATGGTTTTCCAACAGTCTTGAAGGAGTTCCCAGAGGTGTTTAGCACTTGTTGGCCCCTTTGCCTTCACTCTGCGGTCCAGCTCACCCCAAACCATCTGGATTGGGTTCAGGTCCGGTGACTGTGGAGGCCAGGTCATCTGCCGCAGCACTCCATCACTCTCCTTCTTGGTCAAATAGCCCTTACACAGCCTGGAGGTGTGTTTGGGGTCATTGTCCTGTTGAAAAATAAATGATCGTCCAACTAAACGCAAACCGGATGGGATGGCATGTCGCTGCAGGATGCTGTGGTAGCCATGCTGGTTCAGTGTGCCTTCAATTTTGAATAAATCCCCAACAGTGTCACCAGCAAAACACCCCCACACCATCACACCTCCTCCTCCATGCTTCACAGTGGGAACCAGGCATGTGGAATCCATCCGTTCACCTTTTCTGCGTCTCACAAAGACACGGCGGTTGGAACCAAAGATCTCAAATTTGGACTCATCAGACCAAAGCACAGATTTCCACTGGTCTAATGTCCATTCCTTGTGTTTCTTGGCCCAAACAAATCTCTTCTGCTTGTTGCCTCTCCTTAGCAGTGGTTTCCTAGCAGCTATTTGACCATGAAGGCCTGATTTGCGCAGTCTCCTCTTAACAGTTGTTCTAGAGATGGGTCTGCTGCTAGAACTCTGTGTGGCATTCATCTGGTCTCTGATCTGAGCTGCTGTTAACTTGCGATTTCTGAGGCTGGTGACTCGGATGAACTTATCCTCAGAAGCAGAGGTGACTCTTGGTCTTCCTTTCCTGGGTCGGTCCTCATGTGTGCCAGTTTGGTTGTAGCGCTTGATGGTTTTTGCGACTCCACTTGGGGACACATTTAAAGTTTTTGCAATTTGATGGCCACTGGTTTTTCTTTAGTTAGCTGATTGGTTCTTGCCATAATATGAATTTTAACAGTTGTCCAATAGGGCTGTCGGCTGTGTATTAACCTGACTTCTGCACAACACAACTGATGGTCCCAACCCCATTGATAAAGCAAGAAATTCCACTAATTAACCCTGATAAGGCACACGTGTGAAGTGGAAACTATTTCAGGTGACTACCTCTTGAAGCTCATCGAGAGAATGCCAAGAGTGTGCAAAGCAGTAATCAGAGCAAAGGGTGGCTATTTTGAAGAAACTAGAATATAAAACATGTTTTCAGTTATTTCACCTTTTTTTGTTAAGTACATAACTCCACATGTGTTCATTCATAGTTTTGATGCCTTCAGTGAGAATCTACAATGTAAATAGTCATGAAAATAAAGAAAACACATTGAATGAGAAGGTGTGTCCAAACTTTTGGCCTGTACTGTACATCTGTATTGACACGTCTGAAAAACCACCTCATGAGAGCGTAAAAACTTTTTAGTGATATTTGAGAAGTTTTGTGAAATTCAGATGTTTCCATTACCTGTTTTCTATTGCGCTATTTAGGTTTTGCGCATTTCTAGGGGTAATGGAAACGCACCTACTGAGACAGGCATAACTGTTAGCATCACACAGCTAACGTTATCCAACAGTTATGAAGAACTTAATGACAGAGTCGAGCCCTTTTTGTGTCAGTGTGAGATTAATGGTTTGGCTGCAAATGTTAAGCACTGCCACGGGGATTTCTCCAAGTGGCAAAATATGACGAGTAGGGATGAGATTGTGTTGTGCTGTATTAGGCTAAACTAGCTGGGCAGAGAGAGCAGAAGGAGAGCAGCACAGGAAGACAGTCCTTGAAGGCTACGTTGATGAGCTGTTGCTGCTGCCCTCACAGATGTTCTAAGTCTGCAGGAGACCCCGAATGCTCCTAATAATAAGCTCAGAATCTGAGACAGCGCCACAACTATTTTGGCAATATTTACTTGACCCTGCAATTTCAATACAATGTATTGCATTGCAGTTTTTTTTTTAGAAAAGCTGCGCTGAAATCAGTCATTTCAAGCCGCAACAATCCCAAAATCAGGCCTGCACAGTCCTGGAGGGACAGATCATGCGATCTATTAACAGTTGTATAATGTCTTCTGTGGCTCTGGAATTAGTTTCCAAAGTTTGAGTTGCATTATCGGAAATGTAGGAGCCAGCACTTGGAGTTTGACCCATATTAGAGACCAAAAGTCAGAATATGTTGGCGTGGTTGGAGTTTGATTTTTAAAAAGAATATGTAGCTTCCTAGCTTTATGGAAGTGCATCACTAAATTGTTGGAGAACCTCTTTAACCAAAATAGCAAACATAACTCTGCTGACCTCAACATTAATCATGGTAATTTAACCTGAAATTGAGTGCAAAATCTGAGCTAAAACAAAATTAAACTGATGTACTGTATCTACGAGTTTGTTGCTCTTGTTGCTTTTATTGGACAGTTTGCAGTCAGTTTTGGCAAGAGACATGGTCCTAACCACTGAGCCTCTGGGCACCCAGGAGCTCAGACTGGATTATGATGACATATTTAAGACCATTTTATTTGAATATATGTGAAAATATATCTAACAAACACAATTTGTCGTTCTCAGAAAATTCTCGAGACCCCGTCGGCATGTTCAGTGACCTCCTCCTGACCCTAACATTACTGTAATTTCATGTAATTGCAGTATTATCTATTCAAAAACAATCTATGTATTGAGGTTGCGTTTGGTGTGTGTTTTGCAGCCTGTTGGAACCGGCATGGACGTGTTTGCAGGCCGCCCGAAGCTGATCGCTTGGAGAGTCCGAGTGAAGAAGGCGATCGGTGAAAAGCTGTTTGACGAAGGTCACGAGGTGATCATGAAGGTTGGCAGCATGCCGCAGAAGATGCAAAACAGCAGCGAGCTGGAGATGCTCAAACCAAAGTTTAGGAAGCTTTTCAACTAAAGACGTTCCTGTATTCAAACACGACTGCCACTGATGTGAAAAAAAATGATCTGGTTTTATGTTGGTTTTTATCAGCAGAAGTCCTGTGCAGGTTTGACCAGCTCCCAGGTATTAAACTGTTTGTGAAAGCCGAGCAGCTGTGTGGAAATTCTTTAATATGTTTGTGTGTTTAAGCAACATGTAGCATGTAAACCTAACAAATACAGTGAAGTACAAAGTGCAGTATTTCCCTCTGAGATGTGATGGAGAAATATTAAGTGACATAAAATGGAAATACTCAACTAAAGTACCTTTTCACCTCAAACTGTATGAAGCTGAAGCACTGGAGTAAATATTCTCAGAGACATTCCAGCTCTGCACACATGACTGCTGCAGACACTGAGTGGCTGTCATTGTTTTCTCACGGTCAGTGTTCCACACAGAAATCCACTGTCCTGCCGGGAACAACAACGTCTTTATGTCCAAGGAAATCTGAAAAAGTACAAATGAAATACCAGATTTTTTTGTCTGATTTTGTTCCCAAACCACACATTCTTACATGTTTATATCACGTAGAAATATACGCAACATTTTCTATATATTTGTTTCTCAGTATGTTCATCTGTGCGCACACAGTGAGGAAAACACTGCCATCTTCTGCATGTCTTTAGCTGCTCAGTGAGGAGTGTGGTCATACATCATACACTTCCATTCATTTTTTGTGGTAGTCCCCTTTTAGCGCTGTAACTAATTAATCTAAGCATTATTTTTTAATGAATCAATTAATTGAATAGTTCAAACAACAGGTCAAAAACTCAAATAAGGTATATGAAAAGATATTCTATTTACAAAGATGTGCAGTGTGAACTAGGGCTGCACAATTAATTGCAAGTGCAATATCCAAACTGCAGAAGCTGCATTTTTTTTGTTGTTTTTAAGAAGGTAAAATTTGTCACAACATATCATTACAAATGAGGTTTTTTGGTGCTATAGAGATGCCCCGGCTTACAAATCATATCCCAGACATAAGGGAGCATGCTTGTTTGGAACAGACCCCAGCAAAAATCCCATCATCATGATTTTATATTTTTTTTTCAGTGAAAATTAAATGCAAAAATTATCATTTCCGCTAAATTCTCCACTCATTCGACTCATATCGCAGTTGCAATAACTGTAAAAATAATCGTAATGTGATTTTTTTTGTGTATTGTGAAGCCTGAGTGTGGACATAGAGGTCGCAAGTTTTGGCCGTAAATAAAAGGTGGTTAAAACATGTAGAGTGAGTTCATGAGATTAATAAAAATGCACATCTTGAACTGCCATGTGTCATCCCAACATGTCACACGTCGCTGCTTTGTTGTTGTTTTTTTCACATCTACATATATGCACTAGGTATCCTCCTGCGTCTATTGATGATGATCTGGAACGCCGCAACGAAGGTTGGGACGTCAACAGAAACACAGGAATCAACTGTAAATGGACGGCACTTGTGTAGCGCTGTTCTAGACTTCTGACCAATCAAAGCGCTTCTACACTACATGTCACATTCACCCATTCACACACACATTCACACACTGGTGGCTGAGGCTATCATACAAGGTGCCACTTGCTACTCACTTACCATTCACATGCACCCACACACCGATGGAATAGCCATCAGGAGCAGTATCTTGCCCAAGGATACCTCGACATGCGGACAGGAGGAGCTCGAATTCACGATCGTCCGATTAGTGGATGACCCACCCTAGGTTTAGAAAAAAAACATCATGATTTGGCTCAACATTAATACAGGAAGAGAACCCGAGAGTCCAGGGTTTGTCGGACACCTCCCACCCACCCTATAGGGGCTCTCCAGCTCCTTTTATTATGCTGTTACCAGCAGCAATTAAACCTGACGCTGTCCAGCAGTGTCTGGCTGCGTTATGAACCGACGCTGCCTGTTCGCATATCACACAGCTCCGCAACAGGTGCCATCTGGCCAACCAGGGCGTATCATAACACAATGGTTAGGTCCGTCTGCATTACAAACTAAGGCGACTCAGAGATGTATCAAAACGCTGAGAAAGGTGACTTTTGGTGTGAGGTGTCTGACGTGGAAATCACTGACAAAGCGACAGTATTTGACGACTTTGGAATGAGACAGGCGAAAAATCAGCTGTGTATGAACAACAGGTGGGGGGTCAGTGGGGGCCAGACAGCATGTTTTGCCCCAGGCCTCCCTAACAGTTTAATCCAGCCGTGGTTACACACTGCAAAAAATAAGTTTTGCCCAATACATTTTTGCATGTAACTGAGACTTTATTTTAATTTAATTTTATTTTTTTTGTTCTTAAAGTGAAACATCCGTTTTGTCTCAAGGGACTACTACTTCTTAATTATTGCTCTATTTGTTTGGACTTTTAGCTCAGTTTAGGATCGTGTGGATTGTGTGTGTGTGTGTGTGTGTGTGTGTGTGTGTGTGTGGGTGGGAGCAGCTGCAGTGATGATGTTGGAAGTGAGAGCAGCTGCAGGACTCATTCTGGACATGTGACCCTCCACACAGGAAGGAGAGTCAAGAAATGAGTCAGAGATTCCTCCTCCGCACAGAAACCAGACAAAGCAGCCTTAAACCCCCAAAACACTACCACCATCATCTTCATCATCTTCAGCAGCAGCAGCATGCCGTGCTGCGGAGTCTTGTGTCAGTATGAAACCAACAAGCTGGTCCGGATCCAGAGCGTCCGGCTCGGCTCCCTGAAGTGGAGTCTGAACGCAGCCATCCTGCTGTTTATCTGGTGAGTGAACATGAGGGAATGTTTGGGCCCCCGCATCGTCCCGCATGTCCAGGGAGCGGCTGCACTCTGCATGGTGCACAGTCCCGGTGCAGCTCAAACCGTTTGACTACCGGCTGCAGAGAGAAACTGAGCCATTAAGTATATTAACTGATAATTAATGAGGCTGTTTGTTTCAGTGTTTGAGTCAAACTGAACCGTCTCTTGTGAATCTGTGGCACTAAACTGATTTAAATGTATTTTATTTTGTAGGAACTGCCTGTCTGACTCAGCTGTGTTTATGTTCCGGTACAGCAGCTACTTTGTTCCCATATTCCTCTTCAAATACTGTGAGAATTTCACTGATATTATGTAGAAATACTCTGTAGAAAGTTTTTAAATATTGGAGCCCTGTAATATTCCTTCAGTGCCCAGTGAAGACCTAGAAGTTTTTGCTTAGGGACTGTTCTTTAATTGTCAGAAGAGGCAGGTGTCTGGGGTGTGACTTATTTTTTGACCCTCCCAGAAGGTACAAATATTTTTCCTTGAGCCTCTCTGAGTGATGACGGAAAATGCACAACCCACTTTCAACCATAAAGTAGTTATTAGATTTTAAAACTTACCCTTCAGTGTTTAAAAGTTAAAAGTTGAAGATGAAATTCTGGAGCTAATCTCACTCTTGTTGTGCTGGTTAGTTCGTTCAAACGGTTTATTTTTGTCCAAATTTTAAATGACATGTAGAACTAAGTGATTTTGATGAAACATTATTATATTAAGCTCAGATTTGGTTCTGTGTTTTTTCTGATGTACGCCTTTGTCATACGTGACAGTCATAAATTCAGATTTTAATGATAATTTCTGTTTTTACAGTTTCTGGCTGTGATAAACAGTGTAATTTTGGCAATTTTTAAAGAAAGTATGGGTTTGGAAGGTATGCAGTAGGGCTCTAAATGTCTTTTTTGACGTTTGTATTAATATGTCAAATTTGTTTGTCTTAACATTTAAAATATAACATCTTAACACGTCAAATGTGCATTAAGATGACAGAAAACAGTCTGCTGACAAGTTCGTTTCTGACACCTTAACACGTTTAATATTGGGTGCAACCATTTCACCAGTTTCGGAGGGGAAACTGATGAAATAGTATTTGATTGTAAGTGTCCACTAAAAATTGTCCACTCAAATGAGATTTGAGTACACTGGGCATAGTATTTGCTAGGTCATTTACAAGTGTGTTCATTCTTGCATATCATATAAAATGAATGCCTAAAGTTATTTGTTTTACCAGTACTTTGTATGACTGATATTATTGAGGTCTGCTGCTGAATTCTGCATCATGTTTCACTTGGAAGAACTCCGATTTAATAAGTCAGCAGTGATTAAAGATGTGTAAACTGTGTCATTAAGGCAGATAAGCGGAGCGTTAGCTGGTTAACATCACGTTTATTCACTTCACATGGAGCTAAAGTTAATACAGTATTATAGAAAATGTTCCCGTAATGTGTGACCCCATAAATCATCTTTTAGAAGGAGTAGATGTTTACTGTAAGCTAGCTCGGGCTGTGTTAAATGTGCTAACGGAGCAAGGCAAGCTAATCGCTAACACACTTGGTCAAAAAGAAAAACAACAAACGCTTTGAGATGGCTGTCAGAGATGACAGAGGTATGATTATGTTAGGTTGTCTGAGGTGTAGTCTCACTCACCAGACCTTTCTCAAGAAAAGAAAGGTCTGGCTGGGCCGACTCTCACTTTAAGATTGGAGGAAAAAACGCCCCGGCTGCTTGTATTTCTTTCAACCAATCACAATCATTCTGGGCAGTGCCACAGCAACGGTGCGCTTGTAAAAATATTGCCGGGGGGAAACAGGTTTTGGTGTAACACGCCCACAAAAATATCGCCTACAGGACGCGAACCGAAAAAATGGCTACATCCCCGCAAGATCAAACACCGCAAAAGTTAGTAAAGGACGTGTTGAAAACTGCAACCGGAGGTGGTAGGGCGGGACTTCAGCGGGTGGCTCGTTTCTCCCAATGAGAGGCTGATCTATGCAGCGAGCTTCAGCCCACTCAGACTAGCTGAGGTGTAACAGGTGGTGTGTTTTATTTTTGTAATCGATTATAGAAAAGAGGATTTGCATACTGTAAGCGTACTGTTTCATACTACTACTATAGGAAAATGCCAGGTTCTGGTTCAGTGCTCGAGGCCGCGCCTAAAATTTACGCATGGTATCATGGGGGCTACGAATAAGGTGCATACAAAGTTTGGTTTTCCTGAGTAAAACAGGACGTTTCTGATTAGGAAGAATTTTTTATATAATTTATACTGAATGAAAACAAAAAATAGGCTATGGTACGTTACGGCCACAGTGGCTTAAAAAGCTTCCAGAGGACATTCGCCCTCCTCAAACAGAATTTATTCCCCCCACCAAATGACAGGGGATAGGTACGTAACCAAAAAACGTACCCACTAACAGGAGCCCACATGACCACAATGTAGGCAAAGTAGAGTGCGACACAGTCGCTACGTCAGAAAGGGGTGGGTATGTTGACACCAACCAATAGCATGGAACCTTTAATGTTCTATACGTCTTAAGACTTCAGAGATGTACTCATCAACAAGGCATTTGTTATCGTCTTAACGTGCATTTGACGTGTTAAAACGTTATTTTTACCTGTTAAGACAAACAAAGTTGACTTATTAAAACAAAAGTCAAAATAGATGTTTACAGCCCATCTGCATTCATAGGCATGTCCAGTTACTACTACTACTACTACTACTACTACTGTTGTTAAAAATTCAAACCCAAGCTGAGAGAAGTCATCAGGGTTATTTTCTCTGACTTTACAGAAGACATGATACAAGAGTTACCACAGGTTGAACAAAACTATCCTGTCCGACCAGCTATCTGACCTTAATGTGTAAAATCTGTGGAATTACCGCTTTTTTAATTTTATTTTGCAGCATCATGTTGCTGTGGAACAGGAAGTACCAGGAGTTTGACCTGGTCGTGAGCTCTGTCACCACGAAGGTGAAAGGTGTAGCTCAGACCCACCTGCCCGGGGTCGGGGACGTGGTCTGGGATGTGGTGGACTACAGTGGACCCTTACAGGTAGGAGGTCCTCAGGATTCTCTGGGTGGGTACTGAGTCTTGTGCAAAGACGGGAATTTAAAGGTGTCTTTTTTTTCCCTTTCAGAGCAAAAACTCGTTCTTTGTGGTGACCAACGTCATCGTGACAAAGAATCAGAAGCAGGGGAAATGTCCAGAGGTGCTCTTATATCATCATTCATTTTCACTGTAGTAGTGACATTAGAAGTGCTACTAATGCGATGATCCAGATGGACAGTTAGCAAAGCTGTCTTATTTTGCAGCAGTGTTTATATTCCAGGTTCCCCTTAAAGGCAGAATGTGTCACACTGATGAGGACTGTGAGAAAGGAAGCTGGGATCAGAAGAGCCACGGTACGCTCACTCGTCCACATGCACACAAGAAACCAGGTTACTCATACCCCTCTGGTTCTTGAACTCGTTCTGTTCGGGACTCGTGGAACCTTGGTGCTATCTGGCGGATTGCAAGCATGGACCAACAATTAATGAGACCACTGCATGCTCTCTTTTTTTCAATTTCTTACCTAACTTCTCCTTTGCCTTCTCCATCCTCTCTTTCTAATCTGTAGTACATGACACGCCCACTGATGATGTCACAGTTCGTACTTCAGGTTAGGAAAAACCTGCTATTTTTTTCGTTCCAGCTGAGAACAAACATCATTTTTGGTTGAAATGCTCTGAACCATATACTGCACATTAAAGATGGATGACATAACAGCTCCCCAAAAGTGAAGCCAAAATATCTTGATCTCCTCCTGGTGGCTGGCTGCAGTATGTCATCCATCTTTATGTACAGTCTATGTTCTGATATGTTCAAAATTAGGTGCAGGAACCAGAGTGAGACCGGTGTCATGCTGGTGGAAAAGGGGTATCAGAGAAACAAGGTTTAAATGCACTGCAGTAAGCAGTGTCTTTGTGTCTTCTGATGGTTTAATATTCAGTTCAGAGCACTGAACACCATATTTACTTGGCATTGCCGGGGATCCTTTGATTTGAAATTAGAGCAGCCCAGATCATTATGGGATGGATTCAACTGTAGCAGATTTGTTAGCTAAACTGACATTCTGTGAACTCGGATCCAACATAGTATAATGGCCCTGACACACCAAGCTGACGGTCGGCCGTCGACCAAAGTTGGGCCGCCGGTGAGCATCTGTCGTCCTAGTTTTTGCGGTGTGTCCTGCACTGTCGGCACTTCGGCGTCGGTGGCTTTTCGGCCGATTGAGCATGTTGAATCGGCGGCGCAGCTTGTTGGTGAGAGAGATCACTCTGATTGGGTGTTCAGGTTTTATTCCCTCGCCCCTGTAGCGAGTGAATCTGCCTGTAGTGAAACCGGGGCTAACCGGTGCTTCCTCCTCAGGCTCCACTTCACTCAGCTGCCCGACAGACCTGCTGCTTCTTCCCACTTTAACCTGAATAACAAACCTGAGCTAGCTGTGAGCGGCTAGCGGAGCGTTAGCAGCAGCATGACTGGAGGGAAGCACAGCCAGTTAGCCTCCGCTAGTCTCTGAGCTAGCCCCGGCTCTCCGTTTGGATCCAACCACAGCACCGAGCCCTGGTTTGTTATTCAGGTTAAAGTGGGAAGAAGCAGCGGGTTTATCGGGCAGCTGAGTGAAGTGGAGCCTGCGGAGGAAACACCGGGACCGTCTGGATGTAATAATCTGTGAAGGTGCTGCGGTGCTCGGCTGCACAGATAGGAAACCCCTCGGCTGACAGGACTCCGCTGCTTTGTTTATCTCATGCATTCCTCGGACTTCCGGTTTCCCTTTTTGCGTTATTTCCTCTCATGCAGGCGCAGAACGTACGTGCTACTTGGCCGTCGGATGTAGTCCGTGTAGTGTGTTCAAATGCAACTGACACAGGGCGACGTGAGGCGACGTAGACGACGCAACAGTTGGCTTTTGACACCGCTAGTTCTTTGATGTCGGTTTGGTGTGTCCGCACCTTTACAGAAATAGGTTTCAAGATGATTAGTGCTGTTTACATCAAATTCCTATCCTACCTATGTTAAATATCGGAACTTTTTTGCCTCTTTTTAGGTGTTGGGAGTGAAAATTGTTTATCCTCAAAATTTGTTGGGTTATGTTTTCAGAACGATGAAGACAGTTGGACAACAGTTAGATATAGAACAGGATGTAAGCTCTGCAGGTTGGCAACTATAATGTTTTTTGAAGTTATGTACAGATCAGATTTTAAGGCATTTTATTATCTCAAATTGCTTGAGAAATAGTACATATAGCTGCAGTAAATGGGAAAATATCTCTAAGGGAGCATGGCCAAGGATTCCCCCAGGTTTAGGCTGAGTCCAGAGTGTTTATAACATCTAGCTCCACCCCTGGTAGTAGCCTGGTTACTGGGAATCCTCACATACTTGCAGATCTGTAACCAGATGTCTCCTTTACCCTGGACCTAATTTTGAAAGCGTTACTGACTTATTCTAACTGTAGCGTTGATACAAGTCAAATGTTTAGCGTAGAATGTGACTTGATTACACTTTTAGAGGCCTCCTTGTGTGACTGTCAGTTTTGGATAGACTTGGGAGGATCCTTTGTCTCCCCACTCTGCTGTCACAGCGACACGTTCCTTGTCCTAAGTTGGTTGGTACCAGCTGACATCTGTTTCCACAAGAAGCAGAGGAATGTGTCATGAATGTGTTGCAGTCGTCAGCCAGTAGCTCTCAGCTCTCTGCTACATAACAGATCTGTGTTACAGTTAAAGCTGACACTGTTGGCACCTCATCAGCTGCTGCAGAAATCAAAACTGCCACCTTTTATACTCTATTGTGACACAATCAGTGGAGTTTAAATATTTGTTTTCCCTCTGCAGGAATCAAGACAGGATCATGTGTGAGGTATGATGTGTTGAAGAAAACCTGTGAGGTGTCTGCGTGGTGTCCAGTCGAAACCAAGACGAACCCTCCGAGGTAAACTCTACCAGTCTGTTGTCAGATCAGGACTTTGTCACGTGACATCACACTCAGGACTGATTCAAATTTTGTTGATCCACTGACATACAGTCAGGTCCATAATTATTTGGACAATGATACAGTTGTCGTCCTTTTGGCTCTGTACACCACCACAATGGGTTTTAAATGAAACAATGAATACCTGCTTAAAGTGCAGACTCTCAGCTTTCATTTAAGGCTTTTTTCAAAAATGTAGTATGAACCGTGTAGGAATTACAACCATTTCTTCACACAGTCCCCCGACTTTAAGGGCTCATAAGTATTTGGACAAACTAACATAATCATCAATTAAACAGTCAGTTTTAATACTTGGTTGCAAATCCTTTACAGTCAATGACTGCCTGAAGTGTTGGACACATAGGCATCATCAGATGCTGGGTTTCTTCCCTGGTGATGCTCTGCCAGCCCTTTACTGCAGCCGTCTGCACTTCCTGCTTGTGTTTTGGGTGTTTTGCCCTCAGTTTTGGCTTCAGCAAGAGAAACGCATGCTCAGTTGGATTCAGGTCAGATGATATGACTTGACCATTGCAGAACATTCCACTTCTTTGCCTTAAAAATGTCTTTGGTTGCTTTTGCAGTATGCTTCAGGTCATTGTCCAACTGCACTGTGAAGCATCGTCCAATGAGTTTTGAAGCATTTGGTTGAATCTGAGCAGATAATGGTGCCCCAAACACTTCAGCTTTCATCCTGCTGCTCTTGTCAGCAGTCACATCATCAATAAATACAAGAGAACCAGTTCCACTGGCAGCCATACATGGCCATGACATAACAGTACCTCCACCATGCTTCACTGATGAGGTGTTGTGCTTTGGATCATGAGCAGTTCCTTCCCTTCTTCCTTCTCTTGTCTTCCCATCATTCTGGTAGTTGATCTTTGTTTTATCTGTCCATAGTATGCTGTTCCACAACTGTACAGGCTTTTTAGATGGTTTTTGACAAACTCTAATCTGGCCTTCCATTTTTAAGGCTAACCAATGGTTTGCATCTTGTGATAAACCCTCTGTATTTATTCTAGTGAAGTCTTGTCTTGCTTACAAGAGCAGCAGGATGAAAGCTGAATTGTTTGGGGCACCATTATCTGTTCAGATTCAACCAAATGCTTCAAAACTCATTGGACGATGCTTCACAGTGCAGTTGGACAATGACCTGAAGCATACTGCAAAAGCGCCCAAAGTCATTTTTAAGGCAAAGAAGTGGAATGTTCTGCAATGGCCAAGTCATATCATCTGACCTGAATCCGACTGAGCATGCGTTTCTCTTGCTGAAGCCAAAACTGAGGGTAAAACACCCAAAACACAAGCAGGAAGTGCAGACGGCTGCAGTAAAGGGCTGGCAGAGCATCACCAGGGAAGAAACCCAGCATCTGATGATGCCTATGTGTCCAACACTTCAGGCAGTCATTGACTGTAAAGGATTTGCAACCAAGTATTAAAACTGACTGTTTAATTGATGATTATGTTAGTTTGTCCAAATACTTATGAGCCCTTAAAGTTGGGGGACTGTGTGAAGAAATGGTTGTAATTCCTACACGGTTCATACTACATTTTTGAAAAAAAGCCTTAAATGAAAGCTGAGAGTCTGCACTTTAAGCAGGTATTCATTGTTTCATTAAAAACCCATTGTGGTGGTTTACAGAGCCAAAATGACGACAACTGTATCATTGTCCAAATAATTATGGACCTGACTGTATAATTAGGTACTGAAAGGTCAAAATGTAAGTTAAAGGATAACTTCACCCCTTATTATGGTGAATTTATGAGTAAAACTTTTTCTCATATGCCTCCACGGTGAATGAAGGATCCAAAGACAGAAAATTCTTGATCAATAAAAGTCATAGGGGTCTGCAGTTTCCTCCGTGGGGTGGCCTGGCTCAGCCTTAGATATAGGGCGAGGAGCTCGGATGTCTGGAGGGAGCGCGCAGTAGAATCGCTGCTTCTTTGCGTTGAAAGGGGTCAGTTGAGGTGGTTCAGGCATCTGATCAGGATCCTCCTGGGCGCCTCCAGTTGGAGGTGTTCCAGTCACGTCCATCTGATAGGAGGCCCCTGGACAGACCCAGAACACGCTGGAGGGATTACATATCCTGTCTGGCCTGGGAACGCCTTGGGGTCCCCCAGGAGGAGCTGGAAAGTGTTGCTGGGGAGAGGGACGTCTGGAGTACTTTACTCAGCCTGCTGCCCCTGCAACCCGGGCTTGGATAAGTGGTTGAAAATGGATGGATTGATTGTACTGCAAAGGGTTTGCGTCAGTTTGTAATCTGATGTTTTGATATGGTTTTGCTGTTGCTAAACTTGAACCCCTATGACTTGAATTTGTCAAACATTTTCTCTAGTTTTGAATTCTCCGTTCACCTGAGGCATGCGACACAAACAGTCTTTTTCACAAATTTAGTGCAACATGGGCTGAGTAATTGATATGCAAATGGTCATTTAGAGATAACTGATTTTTTGGCCACTTGGGAGCAGCAGAAACAAGTTGATGTACAATAACCTTTTAAAGTTTAAATGTGAACAGTTGCTTTGTTACACACTGACATATTCAGAACTTGGTTAGAACTAGTATTTCGTGTTGTTTTGGGACTCTGTTTTTGGATCGCGTTAAGATGGAGGAACAGTAAATTCTAAAATGTTCTGTATTGATTCCAGTGTCTGCTATATTTTTTATTTTTTCCTGATGCAGGCCTGCTCTGCTGGCAGCAGCTGAGAACTTCACCGTCCTAATAAAAAACAACATCAGGTTTCCTGCGTTCAACTACATCCAGTGAGACTGCTTTATGACTGATGGTGTTTGAAACTGTGTCCTATTTTATCGCACTTAATCGCCTCTCTTCAGTGGCAGAGAAACTCTGACTTCCTGTGAGTATCAGAGTCTGATTTGTTTTCCAGAAGGAACATCCTCCCACAGATGAATGACGCCTACCTGAGGAGCTGTCATCGAGGAAATGACTCGCTGTGTCCCATCTTCAGACTGGGAGACGTCGTTCGAGAGGCCGGAGAGAAGTTCTCTGTAATGGCCATAGAGGTGAGGTCACATGTTCAGATGTTTATTACAATCTGTGTCTTCTTATTTCTGTACTTCTGGCCAGCATCACAGTCATGATAACATTTCATGGACTAACATTGCTGAAATCTCAGGATGCAGCAATATTGCAACACCACAACTTTCTCTTTTTTGGGTTTCCTCAGTCCTTAGCAAGGGATCGAAGAAAGTAGAAATGAAACAACCCAAAAAAAGGAAGTGTGGACTCCGCAAACTTTCTTCAGTTTGAGTGTAGAGTCAGCCAGTCCAACAAATGTTTGAGTTTTTCCTAAGTAGAATTTCTCTTTTATTCTTCTCTTAATTAATGAGCTGATGTTTCTTCATTCTAAAAGTGTTCATTTTTGTCGAAGTCCTTTAATTATTATTTTCTTAAAACAAATGAAATCCAGTGAAAATAAATTTGTTTCAGTGCAGCTACCTCCCGTACTCTTTCTTACACTGCCTGGCCAAAAAAAAAGTCGCCACCTGGATTTAACTAAGCAAATAGGTACGAGCCTCCTATTGGATAATTACTGCATGGGCGATTATCTTTCAGCTGGCAACAAGTTATTTAACCCCAACTGGCGCAATGAGTTGCTTCTCATTTCCTAAACAACCATGTCGAAAGCCACATCCCGTGGTCGTGGAAAAGATGTTAGTCTGTTTGAGAAGGGTCAAATCATTGGCATGCATCAAGCAGAGAAAACATCTAAGGAGATTGCAGAAACTACTAAAATTGGATTAAGAACTGTCCAACGCATTATTAAAAACTGGAAGGATAGTGGGGACCCATCGTCTTCGAGGAAGAAATGTGGCCGGAAAAAAATCCTCAATGATCGTGATCGGCGATCACTTAAATGTTTGGTGAGATCAAATCAAAGAAAAACAACAGTAGAGCTCAGGGCTATGTTTAATAGTGAAAGTAAGAGCATTTCCACACACACAATGCAAAGGGAACTCAAGGGATTGGACTGAACAGCTGTGTAGCCTTAAGAAAACCACTAATCAGTGAGGCTAACCGGAAAAAAAGGCTTCAATTTGCTAGGGAGCATAAAGATTGGACTCTGGAGCAATGGAAGAAGATCATGTGGTCTGATGAGTCCAGATTTACCCTGTTCCAGAGTGATGGGTGCATCAGGGTAAGAAGAGAGGCAGATGAAGTGATGCACCCATCATGCCTAGTGCCTACTGTACAAGCCTGTGGGGGCAGTGTTATGATCTGGGGTTGCTGCAGTTGGTCAGGTCTAGGTTCAGCAACAGTATGTGCTCAAAGAATGAGGTCAGCTGACTACCTGAATATACTGAATGACCAGGTTATTCCATCAATGGATTTTTTCCTCCCTGATGGCACGGGCATATTCCAAGATGACAATGCCAGGATTCATCGGGCTCAAATTGTGAAAGGCTGGTTCAGGGAGCATGAGACATCATTTTCACACATGGATTGGCCACCACAGAGTCCAGACCCTAACCCCATTGAGAATCTTTTGGATGTGCTGGAGAAGGCTTTGCGCAGTGGTCAGACTCTACCATCATCAATGCAAGATCAAGTGTATGACCTTCTTTTTTGGTGGTGACTTTTTTTTTGGCCAGGCAGTGTATTTCAATACACACTTGAAATTTTTAGAAAAATCTCAAAAGAAGTTGATTCTATTGGAAGCAAGTTGAAATTCTGTCAATGCATTTTCAAATTTTATTCACTTGTTTTAAGAAAATAAGGCTTTAAAGTCTCTGTTATAGACAGCAGTGACTCCAAAGATGCAGAGCTTCCTGGTATTCAGCTACCTGCATTGAAAAATGTTACCGAAATTAAAGAACATAATTATTAGTATCAAAATGAGCATAAAGTCTTAAAAGTAAAAGTAGTATGCAGATGCAGGACATTAGCCTCTGTGAGTTAAACATTGACCTCACTCACATCTGGGACCTGGACTGATGTAAAAAGTCTTGTTCTGGGTTTTCCTCAGATACTGACTACCTTTCATGGTCACTGAGGTTTTGTGGTTAATGGCTCATATTTCATTTTGACCACAGGGGGGCGTCATTGGCATCCTGATCAACTGGGACTGCAACCTGGACCGGCTCATGCACCGCTGCCAGCCCAAATACACCTTCAGACGGCTGGATGAGAAGGAGAGCAACAAGACGCTCTACCCAGGCCTCAACTTCAGGTGCTCAGCTACACACACTCCTCATCATGTGACCAGTACAGGAAGTTTATCAATTTTACACTCAGGTTTATAAAGCCAACAGTTTGTGCAGATGTGTGATTGTATATCTCACAAGATGTTGGTGTTTAATATTGATAAGTTAAGGAGTGTGGCTGAGTGTCAGCCTGAGCATGGAAAGTATTCATTAAACTACACACAACACTTGCTGTCACTGGCATGTTGTTGCAGATTGCTGCTGCTAGTTTATGTACTTATGTGTTTATTCTGTTTACATCAGTGGCATGGGCTGTCCTAATCTGAATCTGAACCACTGTGGAAATTAAAGAATGAGTCATGCCATCCACATTAAATCGCTGCATGTTGCTTCTTCTATACGAACGCCACAAGTGGGCAGTATACAGCAAGGTAACAAATAAAACTAACTTCACAGCAAGTGAGCACATGCTGAGTTTTACAGTTCATGTGATAACCAGAGGAGAACTTTGGATGTTGCAGCAGAACACGGACAGAAATAAGTTCAGAGAAGTAAAGACCATAAAAGACATAAATAATGAGAGGTATATAAAACAAAAATAAGAACAGAAGTAAATATAGACACTACTGGGCGGCAGTGGCTCAGTCCATAGGGACCTGGGTTGGAACTGGAGGGTCGCCGGTTCACATCCCTGTACAGGCCAAATATGGAGCATGGACTGGTAGCTGGAGAGATGTCAGTTCACCTCCTGTGCACTGTTGGCTTGCCCCTGAGCAGGGCATCGAACCCCCAACTGCTCGGGGTAATATAATATATAATGGGACTTTAGTCTGTTCTGTCGCCGACACTAAGAAGGACAATTAAGTAGACGGAGTACATTAACTAAAAACAGGGCATTTGTAGGTCCTTAAAAAGTCTTAAATTCAGTTTTATGAATATTAGGCCTTATAAATTGTTAAATAGTTTTAAATTTGAATTCATTGGGTGACCTGTAGCTCACCTGGTAGAATGTGCGCCCCACACTGTAGGCTCTACAGTAGTCCTCTGCGGCTTGGTGACCTCAGAAGTGAATCTCTGCTTTTGCAGATGATGTGATTCTGTTTGCTTCATCACTCTGTGACCTCCAGCATGACCTGGGGCGGTTTGAGTGTGAAGCAGTCGGGATGAGAGTCAGCACCTCTGAGTCTGAGGCCATGGTTCTCTGCCGGAAAACGGTGGATTGCCCCTCTGTGTTGGGAGAGAGTAACTGTCCCAAGCGTGGGAGTTCAAGTATCTCGGGGTCTTGAGATGGATCGGCGGTTTGGTGTAGCATCTGCAGTGGTGATCGTCGAGGTGAAGAGGGAGCTGAGCTAGAAGGCAAAGCTTCCGATTTACTGGTCCATCTACGTCCCAACCCTCACTTGTGGTCATGAGCTCTGAGTAGTAACCAGTAGAATGAGGCTGTGAATGCAAGCAGCTGAAATTAGTTTCTCAGGGCTCAGCCTTAGAGATAGTGTCAGGAGCTCGAAGTAGAGCCTTCACCTCGAAAGGGGTCAGTAGAGGTGGTCCGGGCATCTGATCAGGATCCGCCTCCTGTTAAAGTTGTTCCAGGCTAGTCCCACTGGTAGGAGGCCCAGGGGCAGACCCAGAACATGCTTATATATCTCATCTGGCCTGGGAAGACCTTGGGGTCCCAAAGAAGGAGCTGGAAAGCGTTGCTGGAGAGAGGGACGTCTGGAATACTTTGCTCAGCCTGCTGCCCCTGCTACCCGGCTCTGGATAAGTGGTTGAAAATGGATTGATGGAGTCTTTAAACCTACCACTGAACCTAACACTGTCTATTTACTTCATACCTGCATTGACCTGTTGGTAATATATAGATTATAACTTACTCTCATAACCAGAATCCTACATAAAACCTTCTCTGTAAAGGACCATACAGTGGTGGAAAAAAGTTTTTGGACACCCCATGCATTTGTGAAATATTGCATTAAGAATCACTCTTAGGTCTTCAAGTGCAATTTCTTTTAGTACAGTCACAGCCAAAATACTAAATAAATCCTAAAAAAAGCCATTAAAAACTTAAAATTGATTGGTTCCAGAAAAATACATAAGAAATTTTGAGTATTGGGTCATTTTGGTACCAGTGATGAAGGTCGTTCTTTTTATTAAAAGACACAATTTTTGTTGCCAAGCTTCGTGTCTACATAAAGCCAGCACATTTGAAAGTTCTTCAGACACAAAAATGGCTAAAACAAGGAACCTAACGCAGGAAACACGCCTGAAGATAAAGATTCTCAGCCAGGAAGGGTACAGCTGCCGCCAGATAGCCAGGAAGTGCAGATGCAGTCCTTCAGCTTTTGGATACACTCTGCAGAAATACAGACGAACCAACAGCTTGGAAGACAAACCAAGATCTGGGCGTCCAAGGGTTTCTTCAGCAAGAAATGACCGCATCCTGATCCGCATGTGCAGGCAAAACCGCTGAATGACATCACAGGAGCTTCAGCAGCAGTGGTCAAACCAAACTGGTGTCCAGTGTTCCACCCGCACTGTACGTGGCCGACTTTTAGATCATGGTTTAAGGTCCTACAAGGCTATCAAGAAGCCCCTGATCAATGAGAGACAGAGGTTAGCCCGGCGTCGTTGGGCCCAGGCACACAAGAACTGGACAGCCAGGAATTGGAAGAAGATTTTGTGGTCAGATGAGTCCAGTTTCCAGCTTTATCTTCCTCCTACTAATGTGAGGGTACGCAGAAGGCCAGGCGAAGCATTATCTCCAGCATGTACAGTACCTACTGTCAAGCATGGTGGAGGCAGTATCATGGTTTGGGGATGCATGAGTGCTGCTGGTGTTGGTCATCTCACTGTCTGTGATGGCACATTGAACTCTACCAAGTATTGTACCATTCTCGAAACCCACATGCTCCCTTCTGCGCGTGCACTGTTCCGTCGAGGTAAAAACTGGATGTTTCAACAAGATAATGGCCCTTGCCACACATCCAAGGCCAGTAGAACTTGGCTGCAGGAGCACAGTATCCAGGTCTTAGAGTGGCCAGCTCAATCCCCGGACATGAGCCCCATTGAAAATCTGTGGTGGATTATCAAAAGGTCTGTTTCAAAGCATAAACCAAAGAATTTAGAAGAATTAAAAGCAGTAATTCAAGAAGAATGGGACAAGATTACCCCTCAACAGTGTGAAAGGCTCGTGGGGAACATGCCAGCCAGGATTAGAGCTCTACTACGTGCCAATGGCAGGACTACTAAATATTAATTTGATGATGTGATGGTTTATTTATTTTTTGTTCAGTTTTGAACACATTCTCTGTTATTTGTTGACTTTGATACCGACAATGTTGAGAACTGACATATTGAAACTGTCAAGAATTTAGTTTTGTTAGTTTTTCTTGTAAACAATAAACAAAAAAATATAATTTGTATTTGTTTGTATCTGTCTAATGCAGCCACACCTTTTGAAACACAAAAAAGATTTTTCCACAAATATTTCATGATAATATTTGAGATTGTGTAAAATTTTAAGGGTGTCCGAAAACTTTTTTCCACCACTGTATATATACTACTTACCTTTATACTTACTTGTAATGTTTGAATAAAAAAAAAAAAGTTTGACAAAGAAGAAGAAGAGTCTTTGATTTGGTTAAAAATGACCTTGTAAAGGTCTCAACACGCGTTAGATTTAAGTGTCTGATACCTGAGAACATCTGACGGACACAGCACAAAATGGCACATCTTATTTGACTTCACATTTGGGGTAAACAATCCTGCGTCATGCTTCTCTATGTGCTGCTGTATTTGTATTATTTGTCTTATCTGCTGTTTTCTGATCAGATATGCAAAGTACAACACGGTGAACGGAGTGGAGGAGCGAACGCTGTACAAAGCCTTCGGGATCAGGTTTGATGTCATGGTGTTCGGACAGGTGGGTTTGTGTTTTATGTCGGGGGTTCTCTGCTTTTTTAAGACTTAATATCTTTAAACTTAAATGTTTGTGTTTGCAGTAGAGCCTTTGTGAAATTATTTAAAGTATATTTCCATCTTTAATCATCTGTTTTTGTCGTGGTTGAGAAGAAATTGTCCAATCTGGAATATCTTTTATCATAAACTCTGTTTGTCCACGCCCACACGCACACAGTACGTCTGCAACTGTGGAGGAAAATGTGGAAAATAAACACAAACAAGTGACAGTTTGATCTGTGTTCCAGGCGGGAAAGTTCAGCTTCATTCAGCTCATCATCTACATCGGCTCGACGCTGTCGTACTACGCTCTGGTGAGAGACCACACAGTGTTCAGACGCCGCCACACAAGTGTCCATTCATGCATTTATCCCCTGTTAGCAGTGAACACAGTGGCAGCCAGTGTTGGAGTGTACAAGAGTGGGACTTTAGATGGTGGCTGCATCTGGACACACTGAATGAGTTTGACTACAGAGAGCAGAGAGAGCTAAATAAGATCGGTCTGTAAGATGAACGCTGCAGGAGAAAACTGGTTTGGTTTGAATGTTGAAATGAAGAACTGCAGCAGAGAAGACTCAGAAGAAGTCTTGTCGGCAGAACATCAGATTCCACCGTGAGCTTTGGTGTGTAATGATTTCCATACAGTGATGAATCATAAGAGTGAAATCACATTAGGAGAACTTGTCTGTGATGTAACCGACAGACTTGCAGTTCGGAGTTTGACCTCTCACTGCTGTCTGTCATCTAAACTCTAAATACTATTCGGCCTTTAATGAAGAGTTAGATGGGAAGAACTTTACACAGACTGGAAACATGCTAGTCATAGATATGTATGTAGTATTAATGTTCTAATATAACTTTTGTAAAGAATGTATATGAGATTATTGCACAAAATGTCAAAGCAGGGCCAGAGCCTGGGTAAAGCTTACACTCACTTTATTAGGTACACCTTGATAGTACCAGGTGGGACACCAACAAGGTGCTGGAAACATTCCTCAGAGATGTTGGTCCATATTGACATGATGACATCACACAGTTGCTGCAGATTTGTCGGCAGCACATCCATGATGAGAATCTCCCGTTCCAGCACATCCCAAAGGTGCTCTATTGGACTGAGATCTGGTGACTGTGGAGGCCATTGGAGTACAGTGAACTCATTGTCATGTTTGAGATGATGTGAGCTTTGTGACATGGTGCGTTATCCTGCTGGAAGTAGCCATCAGAAGATGGGTACACTGTGGTCATAAAGGGATGGACACGGTCAGCAACAATACTCAGGTAGGCTGTGGTGTTTAAACCATGCTCAGTTGGTACTAAGAAAATCTCCCCCACACCATTACACCACCAGCAGCAGCCTGAAGCGTTGATACAAGGCAGGATGGATCCATGACGCCAAATTCTGACCCTACCATCTGAATGTGGCAGCAGAAATCCAGACTCATTAGACCAGGCAACGTTTTTCCAATCTTCTATTGTCCAGTTTTGGTGAGAAAACCTGTGTGAATTGTAGCCTCAGTTTCCTGTTGTTAGCTGACAGGAGTGGCACCTGGTGTGGTCTTCTGCTGCTGTAGCCCATCTGCTTCAAGGTTGGACAAGGTGTTGTTGCTTCAGAGATGCTCTTCTGCATACCTTGGTTGGAACCAGTGCTTATTTGACTTCCTGTTGCCTTTCTATCAGGATGAGTGTGTAGTAGTGTGAGTCTGTGTGTGTCTTTTTCCTCCAGACGACCGTGATGATCGACTGGCTGATTGGAACCAGCTGTTACTCTGCAGAGGTCGGACAAAACTACTCTGAGAAGAAGGTGGAGTCAGTCCAAGACAAGCAGAAGGTGATGAATGGTTTGATACGGCAGACGATGTGATATCAGCTGTAAACCCATCGTCAGAGTTTTTCTACTTTACTTCTACATCTGATAACTTTTCAAATCCCTCTAATCAGCTGGTTTGGGATTGTTCTGAATGTGTCGATGTGTCTGTGTGTTGCAGTGCATCCTCTGCGTGTCCTATGTCGACGAGAACAACATTCGACTGGTGAAGAAATCGCAGAAGAAGAAGCGTTTGCAGGACAGCAAACCGATTTCTGTTCAGCCACACAAGGTGAAGCTGCTGCAGAGAAATAACACGTAGAAATGTTCCTTAGAGACCTAAAATCTTTCCATTGGTCTGATACATTACTGAAGCATCAACAGGCTGGAATTCATGAGAGCTCATTCCTGGTCACTTTTATCTGAACGCAGATATGAAGCATTATTACAAGGACTGTCAAAGGATTACATTTTTTGATCGTGATTAATCGCTGAATTTCAGTAGTTAATCACGATAAATCAGACTTTAAATCACAGGTTTAAAATCCCATTATTTTGCATTTCAAAACAGTTTTGAAGTCCAAGTTAACAAGGTGAAGTCTTACCTTTTGGAGGACATAGCAGGTCAGCAGTGTAAGTCACACAGAAGTGATATACGTCACCTGAAAGCTGGAAACCTGATGATAAATTTGAGATGCAGCTTTAAATCTGTGATAAACATTGCATCCACAAAAGTGCATAGTTTGTGCCCAAAACTGTATTTGACTAACAAAGTGGACATGTCTGGGGAACCACAGAACCCAAGGCACCTCGTGGGGACCTCTGTGAAAATGCCCATTGTTTTTGCCTCGCCGAAATTAAGCCTACATTTAGAGTGTTATTTACCCTGCTCCCTGAAAAGCTAGCATAACATGGTTGGTACCACTGGATTCCTTTGGTCTTCTAGTTTCATATGAAGCAGTATCATATTGATCATATTGAAGGTGGAGACCCTCACCTTAGTGGCTGTAAATATTCCCATTACTTTCATTTTGTTGGGAGGAGAGAGGACAAGAACACTGATGCTGGAGGAAGTTGTGCTATCCTCAAACCTCCAGTCTGAAACACCTATTATGACCAACAGCACAACAGTGTGAAGTTCCAGGAAGTACACCCCACACGGTTCCGAACTCTGGTCTACCGGGGAAAGTCCTGTGTTTTGTGACGCATCCTCCACTGTGACCTACCTCCTTAACGGTCGCTTCCCTCTGTATTCCAATCAGCACATTGGTCACGGGATCGCAGCCTTCCTAAATACAAAGGTTAAACACAAATTCCTGGCTCATGACTACGTGCGATATGTACAAATTTTTGTGCATTACGTTTTGTAGGAAAGTGTACAAACATACAAAACAGTGCATAAGAACAGTCCAAGTGATCTGAACATAGAGGCTCCATGCTCTGAGCCAGCGTGAACCAAGACAGTGACACTCATTACTTTTTAAATCGTCCCACGACAGCGCATTACCATTTCACCCTTGTCGTAGTTTACCTTTGAAAATTAAGAAAACAAATGCTTTAGAGCATTTTTCCAAGAAGCAACTCAACAAATACATAAATTCAGAACTTACCATGTCGTCCAAAGGCTTCTCTCACTAATCTCCACGCCCTCACCTTGTGTGTTCTGTCTCTGAACAGTACTGACGTTGAGTCGTAGAGCTCCTGGTGCCCAGAGACAAAGACAATGAGCTGGTCCCTCATTTCTGATTCTCTGTAACGTCCTGAGAATCTCAACTAGATCTCAACGCTGACAGACTTTCTTGACACAGCGTCACACAAATTTCTCATATAGTGAATTGCCCTGCGATGCTGATGCAATTTCATGTCTGTTTGCATCATGCACTGACTTTGTATGTAACTGTCTCTTCCTCCACCTCTTCCTAACCGGATGCGAACGAGTGAACATTGAACATCAGATTTCAGTGTTTCCCAGTGACGATGTCCTAACCCACTCAGTGCTCCAGGAAACAGGCTAAGCAACATGTCGCCATGGCCTCATTCAACCTAGCTGCCTTGCTCAGGGCTCAATAGGCTCCCTGAATGTTGCTGTTGCTCGCAGTATATGTGGACACTGTTTTGCGCGTCATCTGCCAGAGTTTGCTGGCTCACTGTTTGTTAGGAAGAGGTGTAAATACAGACAAAAGCAACTGTTAGATATCACCAGAGGTATGTGAGTAAATATGGTTTGATTAAGGTGAATTGATTCTTTAAAAAGTTAAAATCTCGTCATTGACCTCAGTGATATATCCTTGTCCCGACAGGAGGACAGTGGACACCTGAGAGCCGTCCTCTGTCTGCTCCAGCCAGCTGAACCCGACGCTCAGCCTCCCCTCGACCATAAACCCGACCCCAGACCCTGCCGGCCAGCCTGGTGTAAGTGTGGCCGCTGCACTCCGTCCTCCCTCCCTCAGGAGGAGCTGTGCTGCCGGTGGAGCGACGGCGCCTGCATCACCTCGTCTCCTCTCTTTGAGCAGCTTGTGTTGCGTCGCTCGCTGCTGGAGGCCGTCCTCCTGTACCGGGACCCTCTGTCTCCACCCGCAGATCGTCACCAGCCCTCTGCCCTGCGTCACTGCGCCTACAGTCAGTACATCAGCTGGAGGATTGGGGTCCCACCTGAGGACACCCACCCTGCCATCCCCAGCTGCTGCGTGTGGAGGGTGAGGGAGGAGTACCCGAGCCCGGACGGACAGTACAGCGGCTTCAGACCCGTCAGGATGGCGTCCATGCAGGCCTGCGCTAACGGAGAGCTGTGAGAGGAGAGCAGGGACTCCACCGCTGTCTGAGCCACTAACTGTAACTGTTCATGTTGAACCTGCCTCACAAAGAAATGCAATAACTTTATCAGTTTGTGTTCAGTCAGAGGGGGGTGAGAGGATGAGGCAAAACCTCACTGAGTCAATAAATCACTGCATTTTCTAACATCATCTGTCAAATCATTTGGCTGCTCAGTTAAAATATAAGCCATTTCTCAGTTTCACTCCCTTTAAGCAGCCTTTTGCCTTTTATAGGGCAGAAATATAATTTTTAACACCACTAACCTGCTCAGACAAAAGATTTCTGCTGCCAGGAATGTGTTCAAATCCCTCACATCGTATGGAAAGATGAAGGTTTTGTTCCTACATGGAAAGAAACTCCTCAATTTCAAACTGCAAACAGGTCATGGCAAAGACAGATAAAGGGTAACTTCAGTATTTTTTACCATGTTTTTGTGTCTAACTAATGAGAACAACAGTTTTTGTAACTGGTCCAGTATTGAGTGAGATCGCTGCAAATGGCAGCAGCAGACTGCAATGTAACGTTGATGAGCAATTGCACACCGTTAATGTACAGTACAGGCCAAAAGTTTGGACACACCTTCTCATTCAATGCGTTTTCTTTATTTTCATGACTATTTACATTGTAGATTCTCACTGAAGGCATCAAAACTATGAATGAACACATGTGGAGTTATGTACTTAACAAAAAAAGGTGAAATAACTGAAAACATGTTTTATATTCTAGTTTCTTCAAAATAGCCACCCTTTGCTCTGATTACTGCTTTGCACACTCTTGGCATTCTCTCCATGAGCTTCAAGAGGTAGTCACCTGAAATGGTTT